TTTTTTAAATAAATACTAAAATAAACTAGATGAAATTTTAGAAGTAATAGAAAAAGAATCAAGTCAATTGGGGTTGTGGTTTAAAAAATAGAGGCAGTCAAAGTTAGGGTCGAATATGAATTTAAATAAAAACAGAAAAGAAAATGGTTCGGCTAGAAATGCATTTTCAGAGTAGGAAGACGTACTTCACAGAATACTCTTTCACTTAAAATGAGCTGGCACAACGCTGAGTCACTGACAGTTGGCCCGCCTGGCCCACTAGTCAAGTTTGACTGGTTCGCGCGCGCGCCTTCCTCTCCGACAAAACTGAGGGGCTGCTCCGGCGGTCCTCGCTGGCGAACGACGGCTCCCCTCGGAGTTCTGAGCACACTGGTGTGCTTGGGGCGTCGTGGCGATCCTTTCGGTGCTTGCCATGGTCATAGGGGTGGGCGGAGTTTGCCGACGACGAGCTCAACCGAAGAACTCCGGCAGAGACGAATTGGGGCTTTCGCCCACGGTGGCTCCAGAGCAGAATTGAGCACGGGGATGGATTCATAGGTGCTCCAGGGGGATATTGGTGAAGAAATCGAGGAAAGGAAGGGCCGGACGGCGTCGGAATCATTCGGACAATGGCGGCGGCCGTGGTTGCCGGAATTGGAGAAGACGACTATCTCCGGTCGTTCTACTTCTATTGAAGACTTACAGCGGGGGGAGGAGGAGTTGTGATGATTGGGGAGAGCTCGGGTGAGCTTAAATAGGGGGGAAGAGGTGGTGCCACTGCTTCCAGAGAATGGCCATGATGGCAATCGCCATTAGTGAGGTAGAGAGGGTGGTTAGGGGCGGTGGCCGTGGTTGGTGTGGACGGAGGCTCCTCGCAGTGATGATAGGGATCGTTGGTTGGCTCGGAGAGGTGCCACACACCTTGGGCGGTGTTGTCCCGAGGTGACTGCGGCGGCCGCGGCCAGTGATGGCAGGCGAGGGCGGTGGCGAGGACGTGGCGTGGCCGGTGTGTCTTTTTGTGCGGTCGGTGAGCTGCGGATGAGCCTGAGCCGTTGGCATTCAAGCGAGATGGGCCCGGACAGAGACGAGGCGAAGGCGTACTCATCGGGCAATGCTCCTGGTTGTCATGGATGGCGGTGGCCGTCGCATGGCCAAGGCTAGCTGTCGGCAGGCTGCAGCAGGTGGGGGTGGTCAGCTAGGGGTGGGGCAAGCCAAGGGAGGCAGCAGTTGCGACAACAGAAGCTCGGTGCTGACGCGTGCAAAACGCGCGCTCTGGCCGTGCCAGTGCACACATGTGTTCGTCATATTGCTAGTGCGATCTAGGTTGACCCAAACAAGCTGAAGATTAGTAGGAGGGTGCCTCTAACCATGAGAGGAGTGATGGACATGCTGGTTTGGTCAAATGATCAGGTGCCCAATGCAAGTTTATGAACTTGCAGAATGCTGTCATGCACATGAGGTGTTTGACATATTGCTAGGGCCAACTAGAAAACTTTGTTGGATTTGAAACTTGGCAGGATAGGGGTCTCTTTAGATGATAGAGATGATGGTGGAGTTTGTTTGGCAAGGAGAGAAACTTGTTAGTGCAAGTTTTGCAAAACTTCAGTATTGGACAGAAATTACAGAAGAATGTTTGATGGACTTACAAGTTGAAATTTGAGCTGCCCATCTGGGCTTAAGGTACTAGTTGGAAGGACTACAAGATAGGAAAGTTTCAAAATTAACAGAGCTAGGAAAGTTAAGGCTGTAGTTATAACTCAAGAGTGGGACGGAAATGAAAAGAGGGTGTTTCACTCAAAATTTTCAAAGGACCTAGTTAGGTTTTTGCATAAAAGGGACATATAGGCATCCCATGACCTCCCATAACTTTTGTGGGATTTTAAAACAATTATTTAAAATGATTGTAGTGCAATAGAAGCATTTCAAGTATTGAAAATGCTTTTAAAAGTATTACTTTGTGGCAAATTTTATTATAGAAGTATTTTCTACTGTTATTTATAATACAAATGGCAAGATTTATAAGAGACCCACAGACCACAATATTCCACAAAAGTAATCTTCTATGGAGGGAAGAGTTTTGGATAACAGAAAACGGAAAAGGCCCTGAAATGACCTCATATAACTAACAATTTTATTTCTGACCAAATTTTACTTAATAAAAATACGATTAAATTTTTGGGGTGTTACAGTATTCGCGGTGAGATGTACCTTCATACCGCCTTTGGCGCTCCTATAACGGGCCGGCCCAATATTGTAGCTTTTGGGGATGGATTTTGAAAACGCTTCCGTGGACAAGTTCGAACTGGTTTTCGAAGCTTCGGTGCGGATTTTCTTCTACTTTGTTTCTATGTGTTGATCCCTTTTTTCTTTCTAGTTTTTTTATTTTTCTTTGTCTTTTCTTCTTCATTTTTTCAAATACATATTGACTTTTTAAAAGACAGATTGTACATATTTAGTCTACACATTAAACATTTTTTATATACACACTGAACAGTTTTTTATTCGAGTACATGCTGAACATTTTGTCAAATTCCCATTGAAAAAGTTGTGTATGTTTTGACCACTTTCAGATAAATTGAACATTTTTCAAATACTCGCTAAATATTATTCTGAATATATGTTGAACATTTGTCAAATGCACATTGAACATTTTTCAAATACATGGTGGACTTTTTTTGACACACACTGAACATATTTTTCATAAATGCCATGATTTTTTTTAAAAGAGAAACATTTCTTAAATGTTAAACATTTGTCAAATGCACATTGAACAACTTTAAAATACATGATGATTTTTTATCCTAGATCAAACATTTTAAAAAAATCCATGAACATTTTTCAAGTGTTAAATATTTCTAAATGTTATAGAATTTTTATAATTGTTTGAAACATTTTTCCAAAATTATGCAATCTTTTACACTCTATAAAAAAATTGTTAAAATGTCAGGAGCATATTTCTGAAACACACAAACATTAAAAAAATGATATGAACATTTTAAAAATCATTTGAATAATACTTTTACATTGCATGAACATTTTTAATTCATAGTGAGTTTTTGAAAAATTGAAGTAATCTGTGTTCTTTTTTAAAAAAATATACCCTCTTTTCGTTATTTCAACGGGGTCCTATCCAAGAGAACAGATCCAAACCTTATTAGGCGCCTTAAGTGCTCTTAAAGTTTATTTGGCAAATCGACGCACAAACACCCTCCACCTTGTTCTTGGCCCATTTATTTAAATTTTTGCTCCTTCGCGGCCATAATTTTCGGCTCACTTCGCAGTGCATAGAATGGATCAGCCCATGTAAGCTGTCGCTGCTTGTTTTTTCTGAAACGTTCCCAGCCATTTTTTTCAGTTTGTTCTGTTGCCATTTTGCTTTTTTGGCAAACATTTTACAAATGTTATTTTTTCATATTTGTAAACTTTTTAAATTTTGCTAACTTTTTTCAAATCCATGTATATTTTTTGAATGCATGATTTTTTTTCAAATTTGCAACATTTTTTAAAATCTGTTAACTTTTTAAAAGTTCGTGAACTTTCTTTAAACTCATGAACTTTTTCGAGTTCACTAACTTTTTCAAATGCGCGATAAAAATTTTACCCCGTGATTTTTTTCAAATTTGTAACATTTTTTTAATTTATAAGTTTTCGAAATTTTCATATTTTTTTTTAAAAAGTCAACGCTCAACTACGAACGGAAGCGATTAGGAACCGGGAGAACCGGCGCGTGGCGAGCGAGCTACATACATTACGTGGTGGCGCTTCGCGTAAGTGCGCGGCCGCCCGCTCGTGCACGCTGGCCCCGGTCGGTGCGGTGGCACTTCACTTCCACAGCATACATACATTACGCACCCGCGGACAAAAATTGGCAGTGCGCCTCGCCTCGGCGGCAACGGGGCGTAGCAAAGTGCACCACCACCGAGCGAAACCACGAAACGAAAGCAGCAGGCCAGCAATTATACCAACCACCAGCGCACCTCGCGCTCACGGGCGCTTTGGCCGGTCCTGCGATGCCATGCCATGCCGTGGCCGGTCCTGCGAGTGCGCTATCGCAGCGCACAAGCTCCGAGGCAGGAATTAAACTATCCCTTTGTCGACACCTGCCGCAGCCCGCTCCCGCGGCGTGGAGACCGGAGACGGAGAGGAACGCTGCGCCGCACCAGCCCACCCCACCGGCACCGCACGTCTCGCGGTAACCCAGAACTGCCCGTGCACGACACCAGTACAAGTAAAGTCGCCCGCCTGTCCAGTAAACGCGACTCCGGCTGACTGACACATCGGGTGGTTGGCTGTTACCGGCGGTCCTAGAGAGGAGAGTGGAGTTAACGAGCGAGCCCGTCCAAAAGCCACCCAGCCAGGGTCTCCTCTCCTCTCCTCGTGCCAGCAGTAGCACCCACCACCCAAGCAACGGAGAGAGGCCGTCCCCTCCCTCCCTCATCCTCCCTACGCCTGCCGCCTCTCCCACTTGCAGCGGCATTGCCTCCGCTCTCACTCCAGTCCTCCCCCCTCCCCTCGGCCCCGCCGCTCGAGGGAGATAGCGTCGCGTGCAGCTCTGCCGCTCCTACCCGCTTAATTGCTCGCCGAGGCAGCCGGAGGAGGTAGCTAAAGAAAGAGGTAAGAATTGACGAGCTTTTCTTTCCCGGTTTTCTTGGCCGCGTTTCGCCGTTTCCGGTGCAAATTCTGCGGCGCAACCGGAAATCTCTATCTTCTTCATTAATTCCTCTCCTTCCTTGCAGCCGCTGTGGCAGGCGACGAAAAGGGGAACGACCACCGACCATGGCAAGGCGGGGAATGCTGCCGCGCCGGCGCGAGTGAGCGATCTCGCAGATCTACGCCCGCCGCCGCACAGTATCTGCTCTCCCAGAATTTCCAGCCGGACCGTCAGATGAGTGGTGCCACCGGCCGGGCCTCTTCGATCTTCGCTCCGCGCGCGGATTAACCAGCCCGGCCGCATTTCGCTCCTCCGCACCAAGGAGATCGGGTGATTCGTCGGGGGAGAGGGAGAAGCCGGGGCCGCAGCGATGGGGAGCGTGGGTGACCTGGCCAACTACGCGCAGCTCACGGGGCTGGACGCGGTGCGCCTCATCGGCCTCATCGTCAAGGCGGCGGCCACGGCGCGGATGCACAAGAGCAACTGCCGCCGCTTCGCGCAGCACCTCAAGCTCATCGGCGGCCTGCTGGAGCAGCTCCGGGTGTCGGAGCTCAAGAAGTACCCGGAGACGCGGGAGCCGCTGGAGCAGCTCGAGGACGCGCTCCGCCGGGGCTACCTGCTCGTCAACTCCTGCCAGGACCGCTCCTACCTCTACCTCCTCGCCATGGGCTGGAACATCGTCTACCGGTTCCGCACCGCGCAGACCGAGATCGACAACTACCTCCGCCTCGTGCCGCTCATCACGCTCGTCGACAACGCCCGCGTGCGGGTCGGTAATCAGTCACCTCTCCCCAACCAAATTGTTTGTTTAGCTCTGTACTACTACTTGTGCTATAATACTAGTGTCATCGGACACCTAGATTGGTGCTAGGCTTTTAGGAGATGTTGATTTGTTATGTATTGATTCCATTCTGCTGGGATATACTTACATGCTGGTCTAGAAAAAAAGGTGGTGTGCCTTTTGAGATTTGGTGGAATATGATTGGATTGGTGGCTTTCCTGAGTGAGTGCTCTGGTGGGGTGTCTTGTTTTCTGCCGACTGCCTAGGAAGTTGCTGTGAACCAAAAGATTCTATTGTAGAATGTTTCCTTCTCTCATTTCATTTGAGTAAAAACATACCGCCTTTTTGTCGATCATCGTTTTCATTGTTTATGTATCAATATGATTGAATTGCTACTAGGAAGTCAGGCCATGAGCTCTCGTGGGTCACTAAACATGTGACCTTGGATTAGTCCACTGTTACTACCAACTTTTGCCGCTTCTCCCTGTATCATTTTGGCTTCAAGGCCTATTTTGATCATCATTTTTCTCTATCTCAGGAGCGAATTGAGTACATTGAAAGGGATCAATGTGAATACTCTCTTGACGAGGAAGACAAAGAGGTCCATGAAGCTCTGTTAAACCCTGACCCTAGCACAAATCCTTCGATAGTGCTCAAGAAGACTCTGTCCTGTTCTTATCCAAACTTGCCATTTAACGAAGCCCTTCGAAAGGAAAGTGAGAAGCTCCAGGTGGAGCTTCAAAGATCACAAAGCAACATGGATATGGCCCAGTGCGAGGTTATTCATCACCTGCTTGGAGTTACTAGAACCGTGGAAAGTTCTATTCCAGACGAAAGTACCGATGCCAAGGTTGCCAAGAAAACCAAGTCAAAGTGCACAAAAGTTAATGAAGACAGTGCAAAATCATATGATGATGACTCTCCAAAGAAGCAAAAAGATGCCTATGTTGCACCGCGGTTAGTAAGTTTAGCTAGACTCTCTTGGTGCCTGATTATGTATGATATCGTTCCAAAGAACATAAAAATAATAGGAGTAAACTATTTTGGAGTCATGAATTTGTGTGCCTGGTTTAAAATTTTAAAATCTGTTACTATTTGGTAACTTGAACTAAAACCACGACACGTATTTTGCATCGGAGGGAGTACATCAATTTGTCTGATCCGATGGAAGAGAACTGGACTCTTGTATGATGTTTTGAAAGTTACCCTCCACAAATTGAACTTCCATACTATAAGATCCTTGATAGTTTTCATTGCATGCAGGAGTTCTTCACCTGTTCCCTACAACCATGATCTGGTCTCGAGTACAGCATCATACAGTGATGAGTGGCATGCAGATTTACTTGGTTGCTGTTCAGAGCCAGCTCTGTGTATGTCTATTTGTTTTCTCAGTGTATAATGGAAATTTAATCATTATGCTCACTATTGCACTGATGGTTTTTATTTTATCTTTGTAGTTCTGTGCATGCTATCTCAAGCACAATATACGCTTTTGTCATATCACTCTCTAACGTACTGCTAACCACACAGTTTATGCTTGATTACATAGTTTGGCACTCTTATGTTGAGGTATTTTAATCTGAACACAACATTGAAATCCATGCAGTGGAATGCATATTAAACCGAAAAAAATAACATAAATGGCTATAGGATGTTGCTATTCTTAACACTTCTTCAGATAATGCCGTTAATGTGTGGAAAACAATATGGGAGGAGGTATACTTGATGCTTATGAGTGACCCCAATGATTCTTACATATTTTTCTTGCTGTTTGTCTGCTTGTGATAACACAGGTCTGAAGACCTTCTTTTTTCCATGTGGAACGTTCTCAAGAATTGCTTCAATCGCCAAGAACAAGCCCATGTGTAAGAAAATTCTCTTAAAGTTACCACATCAGCTGTCAGAGTTATGACAAGCAAATTTCCACGCACCTATTTTTTATCAGTTAACCATTTGCCAAATCTTCTAATGTGCTGAGCATCTTATAAATCAAAATTTCCATGGCAACAAAGATCTTATACTACATTAGGTCTACTTCCAAAAATAATGCAGTCACAACTTATGTGAGCCTAACTACCCTGTAACTAAAGACTGATTTACATAGTTACTTTGTGTTGTCGTCAGCTTCCGGAGAAGCCTGCAATGATATTATGGCGTACTCCCTCATATTGTCTTGTTGCTGTTACACTTGCTGTGTAAGGAGAAAGCTTCGTCAAAGGCTAAATATTGCGGTAAATATTCCTGGACATCTAAATTTATTGCTACCAGTTGATTTATACCCCCTCCCCGAAACACACACCAGGGACTGTCCATGTTACATGTGC